GAAAGCCTTTACGCAGCACTCAGCCCTCACTACACATACAAGGACACACAGCGGAGAGAGACCTTATGAATGTAAGGAATGTGGGAAAGCCTTTAGGCAACACTCAGTTCTCACTATACATATAAGAACTCACAGTGGAGAGAGACCTTATGAATGTAAAGAATGTGGAAAAGCCTTTAGGCAACTCTCAGCCCTCACTGCACATGCAAGAACTCACAGTGGAGAGAGGCCTTATGAATGTAGGGAATGTGGGAAACACTTTAGGCAACGCTCAGCCCTCACTACACATACACGAACTCACAGTGGAGAGAGACCTTATGAATGTAATGACTGTGGGAAAGCCTTCAGGAGTTCCTCAATCCTCACTTCACATCTAAGAACTCACAGTGAAGAGAGGCCTTACGAATGTAAGGAATGTGGGAAACACTTTAGGCAACTCTCAGCCCTCACTACACATATAAGGACACACAGCAGAGAGAGGCCTTATGAATGTATGGAATGTGGGAAAGCCTTTGGGCAGCTCTCAGCCCTCACTACACATACAAGAACTCACAGTGGGGAGAGGCCTTGTGAGTGTAACTAATATGGGGAAGGCTTAGGCATTCCTCACACCTTACCTGACATAAAAGAACTCACATTGGAGAGATTATATGTCAAAAGTGGGATGTTTCATCTGCACTGCTGTAATTTCAAGCAACAAATTTCCAAAAGTCTGTCATTAAAGAACAAAGTTTCTCAGTGAGTAAGAAAGCAATACTAACTCAGAGAAGGGGTCATTAGTGCTACTTTGTGCCTTTGGGAGACATGACTGTTTCATTATAACTGGGGCTGTCCTCATCGATTTTTTTACTTTCTCAGTCCAAACTAAGTTTGACCATTCTTAAAGTCTTTGTTACAAATAAGGCTATAGGGAATAGCCTTGAGCAAATGTGGTTTTATATATTTTAATGTTTTATTGATGTTTTGCATACAATAAAATACACTGATCTTGTATTCGGTTTAAGAGTGTTTTGTTTCCATATTTGTTGCATTTTCTCCTGTTCTTTCCTAGTTAAGCGTTAACTATTTTACCTTTATAATTAGTAAGTTTCCATAGGGTGATAGTTTGAGACTGTGCAAATATTCTGTTTTTCATCATATTTTGGCGTACTAAAATTAGTAGGTAACCATTGATAATTATCTATGATTATTAATACTGTTTACCTAATGGTATTTTCTGTTTCAGTCATTTGTTCTATGTTTATTAGTTGGAATTTTGCAAGGAATAGCTTTAATTTGTCTCCTCTGTATTTATTAAATCATACCAGTATAGGCTAATCCATATTACTTTTTTTTTTTCGTTGCTCAAATTGTCCCAGATTTGATTAGGAGCTACCTTATGTATGTCACTGTATTTTTTTAATGTGACTGCATTATAATTTGTACATTACTTTCTGCCAGTGTTGAAAGCTTATTTAGTCCTTTTCCTACCCAAACCCTGGAATCAGACTTTTCTCCAAAAAACCCTGGTTCCTTTTATTAGAGAATGATATTCAGAAACAAAGATCTGGGCATTAGGTATGCTTATTGCTACTGGGACCTCAAAGTTGAACAGTTGGGAAATATATATGTGTGAGTAGACATTTACAAAGACACTTATTTGTATCTATTTCTATATGTATCTTTGTATATTTTTAAAAACACAAGATATCTTTAATTCCAGTCCAAAAACAGAATTTATTTTAGCCTGTTTCCTTTGTATGGTACTTTTTTCTGTAATAGTAATATTCTTGGCTTTCATTATCCACAATACATTATTTGCTGAATCTTAGAATATACATAGTTTCAGAATTGCTAACTATGAGGTGATGAAGCATCTTGCAGAAATCAGTTTAGACTTTGATCAGAGTTCCTGAGAGTTGGACTGCAATTGAGGCTAATCGTTGCGGGGGCGGGGGGAGTAAGATAAGAAGAGACACATGGTGGCTTGATGCTAATCTCTTGAGGCATGATTTAGCTTATGCAGGATTGGCCAATAAAAGCCCAGAAGTTGGAGAGTTAAGGGAGCTTCCCAGTTGGTGAGAAACATCCATCCATGAAGAGGGCTTCCATATCCTGGGGACATGCTCTGCACTGAGACCCTCCCAGACTTCACCCCATGCATCTCTTCATTTGTATCCTTTTTTTATATTCAAGCTGTTACAAGGATGGCCTTTTTGTGAATGCTGTGATTCCAGTTAATTATTGAACCGAAAGGAGTGTTAGAAATAAGGGGGCTGGAGACCCCTGATCTTGAGGCTGGTATTCTATGGGGGTTAGAGGGAATCCACAGACATTTAGCCAGCAGATCAGAAGTTAGGAGTTGTTCAGACTCCCAAACTTGCAGTGGTGTCTGCCTGTTTGGCAGTGTGAAGGATGGTATCTGTTTAACTTGTGAAGTCTGTCCTAGCTCCAGGTGACTAGAGTCAGAGGGAGAATTTTGCATGGGTGACTGGTGGTAGAACTAAACAAGGACAGGAATCTGAGATTTCCACTTGACTCAGCTAGCATGTTAGGTGGGATTTTTAGTCTGCTTGGCATAGATAGTAAGAAGTTAAGCCATTAAGCTATATTTGACTCTAAAAGTGATGTCTTATCTACTATATTACATGATTGGTGGAATTTTAATGAGGGTTAGAAAATGGGTTGAACCAGTCTAATGTCTCTCCACCTGATACCTGTACATAGTAAGAAGTCAATAAATAATTTTTAATGAGTGAGTGAATAAGTGAATACATTTAGAGGCAATCAGGCAGGTACTTCCTCAATTTCCTGCCTCTTCTTACAAAAGTTTCTGCTCCCACACTCATCCACACCTCCATGCTATACATCTCAGTGAAAAATTTAGCCCCTTCTATCAGCTCTGGGTCCTCTTCCTTAAAATTTCTGATCCATCATACCATCAATCATTTACTCTCTCTCCAGTATCCTCAGTATCACTTGTCTCCAGGCTATATGCCTTTAGTGTCAAATCTCTCCAACTTACATGAACCCTTTTCTGCCCGTTTCAGCTTTTTTCACAATCATGTTTAAGCTTCCTTGAAAAGGTCCTACAACCACTCATGTTTTTGGCTTCAACCACCAACCCAATCTGCTTCCACATGTCTACATCTCCAGTAGGAATCTTCCCATGCTCAAAATCAAAACCAAACCCATTGCCATTAAGTCATGTCTGACTCATAGTTACCCTATAGGACACAGTAGAACTGCCTCATAGAGTTTCCAAGGAGTAGCTGGGGATTTGAACTGCTGACCTTTTGGACAGGTGTGTAGTAGGTACCAAGAGGGGTAAATCTTACCTTTCTATTAGGACCACACTAGTGGCTTCTCCTCGGGTAGTGAGAACAGCAGCTGCTTTAGGCATTTTCTGTGGTTGACTGTACTGTATGTGCTGCCCTGGGGAGGTCACCTGAGGGGTTGTGAGTAAAGTCACCCGTTTTATGCCAGAAATGAGACCCACTTCCCTCCCTAGTGGTATAACTATCATTCCTTTCCATGTGAAGCTTGACTATTGAGGCCCTCCACACATTAGGATGGTGGGCTCCCACGTTAGGCCAATCAGTTCCTCCACCTCCAGAGGGATGAAGTAGCCAATCCACCCCAATGGGGTGACCCATAACAACTGCCAATATGATGGTTCCCCTTCCGGGTACCAGATCCTGGGGTGTCCAGAGGAGCATACTTTTCTGTTCTGGCAACAACCTTGGTGGATACACTTCTGCGGCTGGAGACATCACTCAGATTGTTGTTGGAGGGTCACTCAGGGCTCCTAGTCTGGCATACGGGGCTAAAGCCCCAGTGGGAGCTGAATTAATTCAGCTCAAAGCTTCAAGCAGCACCTGCATCCACCCCACAAGGGAAGCCTTGATTGTAGGGGTTCTATTTGTTGTTTTAGAAAACCATACTTCCTTTCCAACAGGCCGATGGCCTGGGGGTTGTAGGTGGTGGTGACTGGTGGTTAGGTGCTGTCGAGTCAGTTCCAACTCCTAGCAACCTATGTACAACAGAACAAAACACTGCCCGGTCCTGCTGTATCCTCACAATCATTGTTATGTTCAAGCCCATTGTTGCAGCACTGTGTAAATCCATCTCATCAAGGGTCTTCCTCTTTTTCACTGACCCACTATTTTACCAAGCATGATGTCCTTTGCAGGGATTGATGGTATCCACAAAAATGAGATCACATTTGACTCCTTCACTGGAGGGTAGGGGCCCTATATAATCTACCTGCCAGTCGGTCATTGGCTGTTTTCCACTACATATTTGCCCAGGATCATATGGTAGATGCCTCAAGCTGTAGATGTGAGCACACAGGGAAACTTTATACAGCACCCACCAGATCACTATACTGCTGTGCCGGCCTCTTTGGCTATTTTCCAACCATCAGGGGTACTACGGTGTCCACTTTTCTGGTGAATCCAGTGGGCAATTTCCTTCTCAGGACACACTGTTCTAACTTGTGCTATAGCGTTTGCTTCTTGGTTTCCCAGCAGGGAAAGGGATGAATGGGCTGCTACATGAAAGACAGTTAAATCAGCATCTGGGGTTTGGAGGTGATCCCAGATGTCCTGCCACAAGGCTTTCTCTCACAGGATTTTCCCCATTATTGACCATTGCTCCTTGTGCCATTGGCGTATCCACATAATCAGCCCACAGTCTACCACCCCACTGACCATACACATGGTTAAGGGCCAGGGTTTGTGGGTGATGACCATCCATGCAGCCCTTAATTTGGCCCATTGATTTCTTTGCCCTGAGTCAGTTTCAGAACAAATGGTATCAGTGGAGTCTTGCTCAGCCACGACTGTCTGCCAGTGGTGGCATACCTCAGCTAGAGCCATTTGTGTATCAGACATCTGCTGGTAGTGGGCCTTCCC